CGTGCCATACTTCCTCTACTACCCTCTGCACCGCCTCCCCTCCTCCTACCCTGAACATGCCACTCTCCCAAAAACATTATGACATGCTCGCTCTCCTCTTCCCATGTCATTCACTCCAATACATTATTTTCAACCATTCTTGCATGTAGAATGCTGTCATGATATTGCACATGAATCAGAATTCAAGGAGTGCTAAGGAATTTTCTGCATTTGCATGTTCGATGGAAGTCCTTAATAAGATTTATTCAACAATTTTAAAGGCCTTTTTCATTTGTTTCTACTACTACATTGGTTTTCATGAACTTATTGAATCAGGCAGGGTAGGGGAGACGGTGGCATAGTAGTATTATCACTGGCCTGTTAAACCAGAGAAGTAGGTAATGTTCTGGGGACCTGGGTTCAAATCCTGCCACAGCAGATGGTGAAATTTGAATTCAATGAAAAACAAAATCTGGAATTAAGAGTCTAATGATGATCATGAAGACACTGACAATTGTCAGGAAAAACTCATGTGGCTCATTCATGTCCTTTAGGGAAGGAAATCTGCCATCCTCCTCTGGTCTGGTCTACATGTGACCCCAGACCCACAGCGATGTAGTTGACTCTTCACAGCCCTCTGAAAACGTAGAGCAAGTCACTTAGCAATGAGGGAGTGGGAACAAATGCTGACCCAGCCAGTGATGCTCACATCCCATGGATCAATTTTAAAAGAATTAAATGATGATATTATGACAGAGGTGGATGTAAAAAGGGATCTGGGTGTCCTCATACACTAGTACAAGTGGAACAAGCAGAGCAAACAATAAGGAAGGCAAACAGTGTATTGGCCTTCATTGCAAGAGGATTTGAGTTCAGAAGGTAAGCTTATCTTAATGCAGTTATCAAAGGCCTTCATGAGACCAGGCCTGAAGTACTGTGTGCAGTTTTGGTCTCCCTACTTAAAGGATATACTTGGCAGGCAGGGAATGTAGCAGAAGTTCACTAGGCTGATACTGGAGATGGCAGGACTGTCGTGTGAGGGCAGATTAGTCAATAGAGGCCCAGCTAAACTAAAGTTTAGAAGGAAGAAAAAGCATCTGATTTAAAAGTATAAAATTTGAAGAAAGATAGATAAGCTTCATGCAGGGAGGATATATTCCCTTGTCGGGGAGTCTGAAACCAGGGGTCACAATCTCAGGATATGGAGTAGGCCATTTAAGATTAAATGAGGAAAAGTTTCTGCAAGTATGGGGAATATGGCTTTGAGATAGAGGATCAGCCACATCATATTGAATCGTGGAGCAGGCTCAAAGGGTGAAACGGCCTATTCCTATTCCTAATCCCTATATTCGTCTGTTATCTGTACTTCTATGTATGGTATTCTTGCAAACACTTTGTATAATACCATCTTTATTTCAGCAGCCATAAAACAGCAGATTGATTGGGTGTTATCACCCACCTGCAATAGGATGCCTACACATTGGCTTTGCTTTAGTTTTTAAAACTTGTCAATTGTAGGCACTCTACCTTCCAATTTCCAGCAAATACGTTTTCTCTCTAGCTCTAACACTTAATTTTAACCATCTGCACACTCTTGCATGCATCCAAATCTAGTCTATATGGTAATGAGGCGATCGCAAATTGTAGGTTAACACATACTTCACCACTATTAGTGAACTTTACATCAGTTTCTGAACAGTAGGAGCAAACTACTCTCTATCTGAGACAACACAATGTGGAGCTGGAGGAACACAGCAAGCCAGGCAGCAGAGGAGCAGGAAAGGTCACGTTTTGGGTCGGGACCCTTCTTCAGAAATGGGGAGGGGGGGGGGGGGGGGGGGAAGAGTTGCGGAGAGAGGGAGGAGGAGTGGGGCTGGGGAAAGGTTGGTGGGTGCAGGTAGGGGGTAGTGGAGATTGGTCAGTGGGAAGGGTAGGGTGGATAGGTGGGAGAGGAGGAGGAAAGGTTGTGTCTGGTCAAGGAGGTGGGGATGAGAGGGAGGTTTGGACGTGGGATGAGGTCAGGGGTGGGGAGATTTTAAAACTGGGTGAATTCTACGTTAAAGGTCATTGGGCTATCGGCTCCTAAAGTAGAATATGAGATGTTGCTCCTCCAGTTTGCATGCGGTGTCATTGTGATTATCACACACAAAGCGCAGATGCTCCATGAAACGGTCCCAGAGTCTGTGCTTGGTCTCACCGAGTAGAGGAGGCCACATCGGGAGCAACAGATACATGAAACTAAGTTGGAGGATGTACAGGTGAACCCCTGTCAGATATGAAAACTTTGCTTTGGGCCTTGGATGGAGGCGAGTGGGGAGGTGTAGGGGCAGGTGTGGCACTTCTTGCAGTTGCAGGGAAAGGTGCTGTATGTGATGGGGTTATTGGGGAGAATGGAGTGGATGAGGGAATCACTGAGTGAGCAGTCCCTATGAAAGGCAGATAGTGTGGGGACGGAAATATCTCTTTGGTCATAGGGTCGGATTGTAGGTAGCAGAGAATGATGTGCTGGACATGGAGGTTGGTGGGGTGATATGTCAGGGCCGGGGGATTCTGTCTTTATTTTTGTTGGGAAGAGGGGGTTTGAGGGCAGAAATGTGGGAAATGCAAGAGATGCGGTTGAGGGCAGTTTTGACCACGGTGGGATTTGGTGGGGGG